GAGGCAGAAGGCAGAAGCAGGGGAGAGCGAGGGCTAGAGCCTTTACGGGGGTTCTGGGGGAAAGGCCAGCGGGGCGGGGAACAGTTTAGGATGGGCTAGTCTGGATAATTTTGAGGCGCTCTGAGCTAGAGGAGAGGTCACTGGTTGCCCGGTACCTGGCCCGATGATGATGAAGGCAGAGGAATACTGCCTCCTGGGGTGTGCAGCCAGAGGCGGAGGGCTGGCTCTGCGCTGAGCAGTTTGCATATCAAAGGTGTGCCTCCTACCGGACCTTGGCTATCTTTCAGAACTGGCTAGACCTGAAGGGGCAGTTGAAACATCATAACACGCAGAGAATAAAAAATACATATAATACTGTACTTAAATACGTCTATTCTTGCAGTGTATGCGGTACTGTGTGTATCAGAGTATGTGCCTATTGGAAGAAGAGAGTGGGAGTGAGGACGGGGAGGGACAATCAGAAAACACGAGAGGGACTAGCTCATGTTGGCGACGACAACGTGCTAAGAAGGAGGAACATCTTCAACTCAACTCTGCCCCTAAGATCCAACTGAAAACAAATGGGGATAATGAAAATATCTTCTCTGCTCAACCCACAGGGTCTTTTTGAGAATCATATGGATACCGTATGTGAAGCGGCTTAATTCATCGAGTACAATATAACACCAGTTATTATTGTGGATTAATTTAGGATTATGACCATTTCCGTTTTCTCTAGCTTTCTCTTTTGGGGGAAGCTGTATCTCAGCTGATCTTGTTGGGGGCCTCAGTTTGATTTAGATGACAATAGAACTCATCAAAATGAGGAAGCAGCCAGGCAACATCATTTTTAACCGCACATAAGCAGCTCACTGTAGAATAGGTGGAGATCATAGAATAAATTCATCACATTTAAAATTACTTGTTCACTGTCTTTCCCACCAGATTATAAACTCCATGAGAGCAGGGATGATTTTTGTGTGGTTCGCCACCTAGCATAGTGCCTGGAATGTACTCATGGGTCAATAAATATTTATTTCAAATGAAGTAATGAATGCAATCTTTTCCATTTTTGTGGGGAAAAAAAATTACCAGGTAGCTCTCCGTTAACTTGAAAAACGAGCTCCTCCAGAGAACCCTCCGGTTATTGACCATTCCCTGCCTACCATGTGGCACAATGAGTGGCACACAGCAGAAGCTCAATAAACCTCGAATAAATGAGTGAGTGAGAGAATAGAGTGTAGCCTAAGTAGGGTGTTAGACGCTATCAGTGGGTTCCAGCAGAGAGCCGTGGGATCTGCACTCAGCATCCTGGTAGCGTGATATCACTGGAATGTTGGTTTGAGGCACAAGAGAGACTCCCTAGTTCCCAACCTTAGGCTCGACCTCCTAGTGGAACTACTGGCCTCAGAGATAATAAGCCTGGATATCGTGTCTCATTATCCTTCAGAAGTAACTTGACCTCAGGCTTCTGTTTCCATTTAAGAACGTGAGAGCAGTGCATCTGTTCAAACACTGCTCGAAGGCTGCCAAAGGCCGAGCCTCCAACAAGAAAGATGTCCTGGTAAATACCTGCTCTCACCCAAGGAGGAAACAGAAGGTCCCAGTGAGTGAAGAGCTTCATTAACGCCCATTACGCACAGGTTGCCAGTTTCCAGGGAATGAGAACAACTGACTGTGAACAAAAGCCTGTTTTGCCACTTGCTAATTCTGTAGCTTTGGAGCCTCAACCTCTCTGAGGATGTGCTTCCTCATTTGTAAAATGGAGATGATAACAGCGTGTATCTTCTGCAGAGGGCAGCAAACACTTCTGTAAAATGCCATAGAGCAAATATTTTTGGCTTTGAGGGCCCTGTGATTTTTATTGCAACTACTCGACTCTGCTGTTATGCGGTGAAAGCAGCCGGAGACAATCCAATAAATATTTATGGATACTGAAATTTGAATTTCTTATAATTTTCACATGCCAAAAATATTATTCTCCTTTTGCTTCTTTTCAGCCATGTAAAAACCATACTTAGCTTGGGGACTGTACAAAAACCGGTGGTCAGTTGGATTTGTCCCTTGGGCCATGCTTTGCCACCCCCAAGTGCAGGGCTTCTGTGAGACCTAAATGAGGTCATGGTGAAGGCCCAATAACAGTCAGCTATTGCCACCCTGACTGCTACCCATTATCTATGCGCAAAACAAATAAAATTCAAAATTACAGATGAAGTATGATGACAACCATGTAGGTACAGAAAGAAATGTGCCAACATGCTACCAGTTAGGATGTTGGAATAGTAAGATCCAGCTTAAGATGTTCTTTTTTTAAAATAAAACATAAAACGTAGATTATAACGAGAATATAATTTAAATAAAAAGACCCAATCCTAAAAACAGTTAACAATAATGATATTGAATAAAAATTCAATCATCCTTTCACAGTTCCAAAGGCCTCCCGATATCCATCACGTCCAAGGACCAACGTTAAGCGTTAGTTACCACTGTGGAAGCTGTAGACATAGATACCGAGTCTATAGGGCTGAATCTGTGCTGATCTTACACCACACCAAGAAGCTGCTTTCCAAGTAGGTCTACCTCCTACTCTTCTTTGCCGTCCTTATCAGTATGTTTACTTCTATAAAGGCAAATAAGTCCAAAATCTAACGAAAGAGCTAGAGAAGAAAACAGCCAAATTCAGTACCATGTAGAAGGGGAAAGCAGCAGGTGCAGAAACGAAGAGCATCCAACCCGGTTCAGAGGTGGCAGTGGTTGTGGTTGCATAGTTAGAGCTTCCTGGCGAGGCAGAGATGGAGCCAAATTCTGAAGGAGGAGAAGGAGAGCATTCCAGACAAGGGTACCCCACGGGAAAGCAACACGCGGCAAAGACTGGAGGCAAGACAGAGCACTGAGGGGTTGTAAACGTGGAAGCTGAGTTTGGCCGGAGAGAAGAGTGCCAGCAGGATGGTGGGGAAGGCAGTGCTAGAGAAGTAGACAAGGGGCTGCAGACCCTATACATCATACTCATGAACTGGGACTGCATCCTAGTCATTAAATCGTTACTTGACCTGCGAGCCTCAGTTATTTCATAGTAAAATGGTAAGAATGATATCTACCGAGTAGGATCAACGCTGGGAGATTAAATGAGATAATGTGTTAGATAATGTTTTCAATATACTTCAGGATATGTTTTACATTGTTGAAATTGATCTATTAAAAAAACTGTTTTGAAAGAACTTTCAAATGAAAGATATGTGCTTTTCCATAAAACAATGTCATTTCAAAACAATGCCTGCATTAGATAGCTACTAAGCTTTCAGATTTTTTCTACTAGTTGAAGACTCGTTTCATGAAGGAGAATCACCCATACAGTCTGGTCCCAGACAGTGATGAAGATGATGGAAAGGAAGAAGGAGTGAGAGTGGGGGAGGCAGCCTCCTCAATGGCCTCTGCATCTCAAGGACGCTTGCGGGCTGTCATTTGCTATTTAAGAAAAAAGCGCAAATAGAGGATCCATTCTGAACGTTTTGTTTGAGAGTCCAAACGTCTAACTTTGAAATGTATCAAAATAATTATCACTTAAATGTATTTGTTAGTGAAAAATCTATGCTAATGTGTTGGTAAAACTATTTTTGTATTCTTGTTATTTTAATTTGTATTTACACTTCAATAAAAAAAGAGCAATCTCTAATTCTTTAAATTTGGCCATGTTCTGATTGTACGTGACTTTCTAATTTGCTTAGAAAGGGAAGAGGTAAATGCAAATTATGCAAGTAGGGACGACAGTTTAGTCTTCAGGTGAGAAAAGTTTTGTTTTTTTTAATCATGGGAACATGATCTGTGTCAGATTATTGTTATAAGTATTTTCTTAAAAAAAGTAGAATTTAAGCTAACAACTGTTTTAAAATAATTCTACAAAGAACTCTTACACTTAAATATTGGGAATAGCAGCCAAAATGGCTTAGGGTCAGAAACAATTGTTACGGAAGTTAATTCTCCTCCCAGCTGAACTTCTGACCTGCTGGGGTTGCTCCTTCTTTATACTTCCTGTCTGTAAAAGAGACAGCCTGTACTTGTAACCCACAAACATCCAGGGCTGGAAAGTGGAATTTTAAATAAGTTCATTAATACACTCTGAGAGCAGAAAGATTTGGTTTCAGAATTCTAACGTAAATGTATTCCAGTTCTTCGGTCTCTGGTCCACAGGACACAGCAGCTCCTGCTTCCCAACCTGGCGATCAATAAACCACATCCTTCAATCCCCTGGAAACCGTTCAGAGGAAAGTCTGTTTATAAGTTAACTGATCTCTGCATCGGATAATTTGTTTTGTTTTTCCTCCCCAGTTGCAGTCAAAAAGGATGTGATGAAAGGATTAAAAACTGATTTATCTCTTTAGGAGAGCAAATGCAATATGTAGCAAGAGTCAAAAAATGTGCTCACTGATTACCCTTTGACCCATTAATTATACTTCTAGGAAGAAAATAAACATATACTTATTATATAACGGAAAAGAAAAAAAGCGGAAACAAACAAAATGCCTAATAACTGGGGAATGGTTAACTAACACAGAATCATAAACTGACAAGATATTATGTAGCCATTTGCAAGGATATGAACAAAGACTATGAAAATACATTACAGAATTTGTATAAAATAGTGCTAGATGCATTGTATATGTATATATTGATTACAAAAGAGCAAAAACTATGCGTTTATACAACATGGAGGAGAAGATTCGGGAGACTTGTAACAAGTCGCTCGTCTGCATTGCCGATGGCGTTTCTTTTGAGCAAACGATTTCTTGCATAGTCCTTGAAACAGTAAAAAATGCCGCTGGGATCAACACATCACTGAATTTTTCTCACTCTCCTTCTCTTTCTTTTTTTAAATAAGGCCCCCAAAAGATGACCGGAACCTTTTACTTGCCCATTTTCTCCCTGTTTATGTCCCAAAGGAAATTTTTTTCCCCTCCTGATCAACGTTATGAGCCTGTTTACTCAATAACTGAATCGAGGTCACTAGACATTCGGGCACTCACCCTTTGGGGCGCCCGTGGAGCTCGTGCCGCCGGCATCCCCGACTGCTCAGCGAGGACGTGCTCGCCCTTCGCTTCAACGAGCCAGCCGCTGCGTCTCTAGCCGTATCTGACGTCATCATAACCTAGGGGAGAAAACTTGTAAAATAACAAACGAAAGATCTGAAAACACTTACGTATAACACCGAGACTCCTAAATGAAGTACAGACAGTTTTCCGGCCATATTTGAAGGGGGAAGTGAGGTTCCCTTAAGAGCGATATTCATTATATGTTGTTATTCTCGTCAGTGTAACTGGAAATATGATAACTGATAACTTTTATTTGTGCAACTGTATACTTAATTCACATAAGCAGACATTAAGCTGCAGCAAAAATGCCTAAGTGTAGAAGAGGTTCAAGTCACCAGGAAAAGATAGCCATGTGCAGAAGAAAGATATTGTCCCACACCAGCAAGCAATATTGTTTATTGCCTCCCCCAAGTTTAATTGTGATGAGAGTTGGCTAATTAATATTCGTTGGTGTTGCTGTTACTTTAAAAATTAAAATGAACTGTCTTCCCCAAAGGGTAGTTTTTTTCAAGGAACAGTGATTTATTTAGTAAAGGGAAAACAAGAAAACTGTTAACAAAGTAATTTATTGGAAAATCTACCTTCTTCTCACAAATGCTTGTTGAGAAGCTGGTCGGAGGAATGGACTTCCCAGAACTTGGACGATAGCGCTACTGTATTAGCATGTAGATATTCATTTAAATGATTTTTTGTGTGTGTGAGGAAGATTGGGCCTGAGCTAACTATCTGTTGCCAGTCTTCCTCTTTTTGCTTGAGGAAGATTGTCACTGAACTAACATCTGTGCCAGTCTTCCTCTACTTTATGTGGGATGCGGCCACTACATGGCTTGATGAGTGGTGTGTAGGTCTGCGTCTGGGACGCAAATACACAGACCCGAGGCCATGGAAGTGGAGCCTGTGAACTTAACCACTATGCCATCGGGGTCCCTGATTTAAATGATTTTATAATCTGTAAATGTGAGAGTCCTAACAAGAGAGTGTGCTAGACACTATACACAGAACTGAAACAGGGTCCCTGCCTTCCAGGAGCTGGCGGTTGTGTGGGTAGGGCAGACCTGGTTACAGCCAAAAACCCCAGCGTGATGGGTGTCAGGGCAGAGAGAGGGAAGGGGTTGGGAAGGGCACACCAACCCGGCAGGGGAATCGTGTGTTGGGGGGGGCACTGTGGAGTATGTGTGCGTGTGTGACTGTGTGCCTGTGTGAGTGTGTGTGTAAGCATGGGCATCTCTGTGTAAGTGTGTGCCTAGGAGTGCATTATCACTCCATGGGGGCGTGCCTGTGCGTATGAGCATAACTGAGTCCCTGTGAGTGTGTGAGGCTGTGAGTATGAGCGAGTGTCTCTGTACATGGATATAAGTGTGTGCCTGTGTGAGTACCGGTGTGAGCATCTCTGTGTGTGCACCTGTGTGTGATTATCTGTGTACTTGAGTGTGTGCCTTTGTGTGCACCTTTGTGTGCCATATGTTTGTGTGCTGAGTGTGTGTGTGAGCATCTCTGTGTGTGTGTATGAGTGTGTGTGTCTGTGTCTATGTGTGTGGACAGGACACACTGAGCCTGATTGAGTGGCTCATTCAGGTTCTGCTCTAAAGTGACTCAGTTGGACCTCTGCCTGCTCCCAGTTTCCAGAGCTGCCCGCGGGCCAGGGTTGGCACCTGAGGTCCTGAGGGGATGCAGCCGACGCTGGAGGTCGCCAGCCGCGTCAGCCGGCCTCAGGAAAACGGCTCAGGACTCGCGCTGCTCGAGGGCATCATCCTGAAGCCTAGATACGAAGGCGGGGGTGGGGGGACAAAGGCCAGGATCCAATTCCAGTTCCCTAAATTGGGGCCCCTTTTGATTTGTTTGGGGAAGAGGAGTTGTACGGCGTCAGAGAGGTCGTGGCCAATGCTGGCTACTTCTCAACACATGCCGCCCCCCCCCCCACCCCCCCGATCCTCTCTCTTCTCCCCTCTGGCCCCGACGCGCTGCGGAGAGGGCGCACTTACCTCCAGCAGGGCAGGAGCTGCGGCTCGGCCTGCCGGGGGCCTCCTAGACCTCGGGCTCGTCCACTGCGGGACCGCGCGGGGCGGGGCTCCCGCCTCCCAGGCCTCCCTCTGCTCGCACCCCGCCGCTGGACTCCGCGGCCCGTCTCCAGGGTGACCGCCTCAAACAGTCCTCGGCCAGCCCCGGCCGACCAGTAGCTTCGGGGTCCTCTGGACCGCCGTAAGGATGTAAAGGATCTCTTCGTCACTGCTCAGAGGGGCCGCCCTGAGCCCCGCTGCGCCCTGGGGTGGCCGCGGGCTGGAGGGGCACCGGTTCCTCCCGGAGCGAGGAGGACATCTGGGACTCAGGACGCGGCCCGGCGAGCCCTCCTCCGGCTCCTTCGCCCGCAGATGTGAGGGGCCGCAGCGGGAAACGCGGCGCTTTCCTGGGACCGCAACCCCGAGGCTCAAGGAGAGAGTGGAGCAGCCCCGCCCCCCGCCCCGACGCGGCTCCCCGCCCTCCGAGGCCCAGGGCGTCTAGAAGACGGAGGACGTGCCGAGAGCTCCCGTGCCCCAGATACTGGCAAGCAGCTTTAGTTTATTCAGTTGTCCCAACAACTCTGCCACGAAGGGGTTGGTGTCCCCTTACAGATGTGGACAATTGACATTCTAGGATGCTCACTAAGGTCCCCGGGGCCGCTTGGAACGCGGGGGCCAGCTCCTGCGCCTCACCTACGGGCCACCTGGCTCTCCTGCACGCCGCTGCTCTCAGCCGCTAGAAGTTTAAGAAGCTTTGAAAACGAGGCTGTTGGGGTCGAGATCTACTGACATAATTAATAGGCCCTTCCTGCTTCATAATTATCCCCCTCTTAACCCCTGAGCCCCTCCCGCAACCCAAAGCAAACAAAGCCAAACCCCGAAGGGACCCTCCTGCAGCGCGCCATCACTGGAGGTGCGGAGCAGACAGCGCCTCCCAGCGGGGCATCAGCAGCAGCAGCAGCAGCGGGCAACAGCGGTGCCTCGGGAGGACGGTAGAGCCGGCAAGGGGGCGGATAGGGTCGGACAGGAAAAGATTGTTTACTGTATCTACCAAGTACTAGGTATGAACTGTTAGGTGACTGAGAAATATTCTCTCATTTAATCTGTGCAATGGCCCTGTGATAAGGGGACGCTCCGTTTTTTTAAGATAAGGAAAGGAAGAATCGTTGAGGAACCTGCTCAAGTCTACAGTTAAATTATAGAGCTGGGATTGTCTGACTGAAGTCCTTGCGCTCTGAACAGCTTTGCCCCCTTGCCTACCCTGAACAGCAACGAAGTTTCCAGAAATGTGGGTAGAAGTTTAAGAGGCTGGTAATGAAAGAGATTCACAAATCAGTTTATTTTCGTGTTTTTCATTTATTTTCCACACACACAAAAATCACATTTAAATAACAACTTACGCAGATGTTTCATCTTGTTCTCACGTATAACTAAACTTTGTTCTGAAACGGCAACTCGCTTTGGAGTAATGTGCCACGATAAATAACTGCGTATTCGGGATTTTGTGAAATGGGTGATTGGGAAAATTTTGAAGGAAAAAACATTTGTAAAAATCATTATTTACAAAAAATGATATCCACACCTTTTCTGACTTATAAGGCAAGTAACGTTAAAATGTTCCATGATTATCTTCAACAAGTCCCTACAACACATTCATATCACCATCGCTCAACAGAGAGCTTTGGGCCGTTCTGGGAGGGACGAGCCTTTGCGTCTGTGGCTGGGTTTCTCTTGAGCACAGCACAGAAAGAGTGGGGCTTTCATCACAGACACAGCAGTAATGGCTATGAGAATGACGTGTTTGCTGCTGGATTACACATGTAGGAAAAAATGCCAGGTGTCAACATTTTAACTAAATTTAAAAAGTCTACTCAAGTATTTTAACCCATAACTCCTTTTATAAATACTTTATGCCCAAGGTATTTTGTGAAATTATATATTCCGTACAAGGTCATAGAGAAATTCAGTTTACTTTTGCTACAAAGATCGTGGAGAAGTCTAAATAAAGGCTACCACCTACTCAAATGAAAGCAAATACTAACAGCATTTTCCTTAAGAAAGTGAATTTTATTACCTTTAGAAACACAGCAACATTTCTCTGAGATTCTTTTCCTAGTTTTTCCTATTGTAAAAGTATAAAAAAAATTAATGCCTTACATTGCCACCTAGTAGGCAGGAAAATTAAAGTTTGATCATTTCATTCATACAGATCTTTTCCTATACAAAGTGAAAATTAAAAAAAAATTCCTTGTGTATTGAAACCTAAGAATGTTCAAACAGTTTAAGAAGCCAGCTCTAGAAATCGCTGCTCAGCCTTTAGTGAAGCCCTGCTCATAGATAAGATCAGCTTAACAGCACGCCAACACTTAGTTTTTTCAAGAAAAATTATCCTGCAGCAATTTCCCGACTCCTTTAGATTGAGAGACAGAGAGACAGAGAGACAGAGGTCAGACAGGAGGCGATCTCTTTCATGTATATTCATTTAACAAGGCAAGAACTGAAGCCTGACCTGGAAACCAACACCGGTTTAAGAATGCTCATCCCAGCATCTCATAAGGAAAAGAAAAGATCTGGCTTTGGACCTCGGGACAATGATCCCAGAGATAGTCATTTGGTGTATTATTTAAAATAGCTTGAAGCAATGATGTATGAATAACACAAGCATTTGTTTTGCCCTCCCCCACCCCATAAAAAGAAAAGAAAAGGTCAGTGAATTAAGAGACACACAACTAAAGTGGGATGCAATTAACATTTGCGTGATATATTCATTCAATGGGATATTTTAAAATGACCGATAGCTTATGATCTGTCAAGCTGAGTTACAAGTTCAGAATGAATTAAAAATGGAACTATATTTAGAGAAATGTAAGATGATTCAGCTTTACTCTTTTCTGTCTGATAACAGACAGTTTAGCCAGGAATTTTTTAAAGGAACTTTGATTGTGTAAAAGCAATTGATTTGCAAGATAAAGCAAAGCAAAAAAGAACTGTGAAGTGCTCATTAATAGAGTGTACAGTCCCATAAAAATCAATGCTAAATAGTGCCTTCCTGTTAGCTTTCACCAGAATGTTTTTCATATAATTTCTAACAAGATTATGTAAAAATGCTGTGAGCGTTGATCTACCATGATTCAATTTCTTAAAGTTGTTTAGTAAAATATTACCCAATATTATAAGCGTTAATTCCACTCTGCGAAGAATTTGTAGCATTTCAGCAGATAGTGGCCTGATGTGCTGATTCTAGGTGCAGATCTTAAAAATAACACTTAAAAAAATAAAAATAGAGGCTGGCCCTGAGGCTGAGTGGTTAAAGTTCTGTGCGTTCTGCTTTGACAGCCCTGGATTTGTAGGTTCAGATCCCGGGCGCCGACCTGCTCCACTCATCAGCCATGCTGTGACAGTGTCCCACATACAAAAAGGAGGAAGATTGGCACAGATATTAGCTTGGGTCTGATCTTCCTCAAGCAAAAAAAAAAAAAAAAAGGAATATTGGCAATGGATGTTAGCTCAGGACGAATCTTCCTCACCAGTAAATAAAGAAGTAAAAAAAATATTAAAACAATTTCATTGTTTTGTTTTGAATATTTTAGGTGATAAAATTAAATTCGCTAACATATACTAATAAAATTTAAAGTAGATACTAATTTATTTGAAATGGCAGGAATTTCCCTTTTAGTTAAAACAAAAAGCCAGAAGAACATTTGCAAAGCATTCTTGGTTAGATTATTTGCAGCAGTTGTTGAAAGATATGTAAACTGGTGTAAAAGAAAATTTTTATAAAATTTCTTCAAGGTGTGTTTAGAAAAAAAAAGTGTTTTCCTGGTTCAATAACTTTCTTAAGCTTCATTGAAACATTAACTTTTACTATCAATGTCCAAGGAATGGGATCTATGGTATAGAATCATTTGTTTTCAGACCACAATGAAAATTTGCCAGAGCCAGTAGATCTGAATATGATTTGGAAAATACTGGAATATAGATTAATGCAATGGGAGCATCCTTTACTAATTTTCTTTTAGACATTAAGGGACACATGAAAATATATTTGCTTTTCATAGAAACATCTTTTCTCATAAGGCTAAAGCTGCATTTAGAACAGACAATGTACTACCCTAGGCATAGAAGGAGGCAATCAGAAATACCATAAATCAAAGGAAAAATAACTTTAGAAATTAAACCTAGAGAATAAATTACTATGCCCCTGGTGAATGTCAACAAGATGGTGCCTTTCTCTCATTGGAATACTCATGCAGGATAGAAATCAGATAGCATACATGAGGGACAGTCTAGAGGTTTGACCATGGTCAACTCAACAGACCCTAAAATTTGACATTCCTTCAAAAAGGCTATTTAGATTTCAATTAGATATTAAAAACGCGACTCTAGCCTGTAGAAGATGATAGAACGTCAAATTGATGACATGAGAGAAAGTCTAGTGGGTTTTCTTTTGTTGTCGTTCTTTGTTTTTAATATTTGGAGACTTAAGCACTGTCCTTCCATCTCATTTCTCCCCCATTTATTCCACGTGAGAAAAGTCACGTAACGGTAGCCATGTTTAGCTTGTGAGTGAGTGAATGGCATTTATAGGCTGTTTGTTAAATGAAACAAAGGAAAGGAGCAGGAACATACAGAGACACCTCCAGAGAAGGCATCCAGTAAAAGGAAGTGGGCGGGCTCTCAGAACAGTCTCTTTAATCACCATAACATGGATTGATTTGTTCATTCATATCGACAACTTAATTTGACTCATTTCAAAGAAATAGCATGTTTCTGCATATTTTAAAGCAATATTTAGAGATCATCCTCATTTCGATCATAAAAAATTTATGCTTCCATTAAAAAAAAAATGCTCATCAGAAAACCAGGTAGCAAAATGAGTGCCTTTAGATTGAATGGGATTTTGCTCAAATACATAATCTTTTGGGAAAAAGAAAGCTTAAAAAAAAAAACCCGCAAACTCATCTCCTTAGTAGACATCTGCACATTTTACTGTGTCATTCAAGATAATTGACAACCTGTGATTATTTTGGGGAAAAAAGCAAAAATAAACATGATTGGGGCAACTCTTTTGGAATGACATGAGTCCACGCTTATAAATCATCCAGTTCGAGGGCTTACAAAACGAATAGGGTTGACTTGTGAGTTAGATGTCTGAGTGTCCCTCGCAAGGAGGGAGACATTTATGAGGACTTTGTACTTGCAGTGAGTGACAGCCTACAACCCTCCTACGGCTTCTTTTAATCTTCTAAGACATTGACAAAAAGGACAGAAACATGAAAAAGAGAGAATGCGTTTCAGACCACTGTGAGACTGAGATAGCACAGGATGAGCACTCTAAGCAAAAGATGGGATTTTCCTAGAAAAAGCCCTCTCTATTTTTTTTTAAGATTGGAGGAAGTTAAACGGGATGAATGAAAAAATAAACTCGTTAGAAAAGTGGTATTCAACTTACAATTTAACGTTGAAAATCTGATATAATGTCAGAACTAAGAAGGACCTGGAGACATCAGCTGGGGCAGTGATTCTGAAATTTGGGGTGCTTTTCAAAATACATGTTCCTAAACCTTATCCTTAGAGATTTATTCATTCAATAGAAATTTATTGATGCCTATTATCTTCCAAGCTCTGGAGATGTTCTGGTGACTAAGCCAAAATCCTTGCCCTTTTTCAATAAATGATAATGCAAGTGGTTCACAAACCATACTTTGAGAAACATTCTTTTCCAACAATTTTGCTATTTCAATTATTCTTATTTTGAGACTAATTTTTCGTGGCACCTTTTACCTTGGTATTCGAATGGAATATGCATAGAGAAATAAGACAGAAGACTTTATTTGCAAGAATGAACAAGCAAAACAGGCCAGGGTCTCCTTCTGCAGTCGAGATAACTGTGTTACTTCCAGCTGCTGTGTTGCTTTGGGCAAATTAATCTGTCTAAGCCTCAATGTCACCATTCGTAAAACAGGAATTAAAAAGAGTACCTACAACTTTTGGGTTGATGTAAGGATTAAACAAGCTAGTATCTATACTGACTGGTACACAGTACGCACTCAAGTAACTATCAATTTTTACTGTATATCAGTCAATTACTGTGATCGTACAAGTTTCCTTGTGAAACCCCCAAGGTGGATATGAGTCAAGCAGAATCATGGAACTTCAGAGGTGGAAGTAACTTTCCAGATCACTGATGTGGCATTACGGTGTTTAAACAGTGCTCTGGGGGCCTGGATTTAAACAGGATTCCATGTGCAATTTTAACAGAAAAAAGTCCTGCTGTTAAGAAAAACTTGAAAACCATTGGTGATCCCAATCCCTCATTCTAAAGATGAGAAACTGAAAAGGGCAGTGATTCGTCCAGAGTCGCACAGCAGGAGAGTTGATGTAGGTACCAGGCTTCCTTGAAAAGAAGATTTAGAAGTGGAAATATGTGTAATTGTGACCTCAAACACTTTGCAGATTGAGGCTGAGTAAAAACACATAAAAACAAAAATAAAACATCTGTAGTTTGACTTTCTGGGGGGTTTGTCTCTATTCACTCAAAACCATTTGAAATGTGGACATTCTTTCTTTACAGGCGAAATATATTCCCACGTACTACACGGTGAATTTTCATTTTGGCTGTAGGTGTAAAGAAAGAAGAGAGCTTTAAAAATAATTAAAAATGTAATCCTTAGGAATTATAAATTCCAATTATGATAAAATTCAGACCAATTCTTAATAAGAATTTATTTTAAAAAATATCATGAAAATACGGAATTTATTTGAAAAGAAAAACGTACTTTCCACGTTGCCAGAATAAAGCAGTATCATGCATTCTTTCTGCCTTGGTAAAGCAGAAACTTTGTTAATCATGATGCTCAGGAAATGGTGCTCTGGTTAACGGAAACCCTTCCTTTTATTGTAATCCCTGATATGGAAAATCTGAATGTGTACTAGCCCATTTTGTTCTGTTTTAGATTGATAATGAATCTAGTTTAATGTTTCTTTCATAACTGAGATTCTTGCATTGTCTAGGGTCATTTTTGCTAACCTGAGTTCTTATTGTACAGGACTGTGGATATAGATGTAACAGTAGGTCATAAACTACAAGATTAAAAAACCCCACCAAAATCTAAATCCCTGATATGAGTTTATTGTGTTATTATTTGACCTATTTTATGAAAGGAGAAGGGATGTATTCTGTTTCTGGTTATTCAAAGTTTAAAAATTTTGAATCACTGACTTCCATTTTGTTTCATAAAGACAAATTAAGGGATCATAGGATATCGTCATAGTTTCAAATTTAGTTCTTGGAAACATTTGAATAATGTTAGAAATTGCAATTTATGTTTTAAATTACATTTTATACTGTCAACAAAATAATTCTTTGAAAAAAAAAAACCCTTGTGTTTAACTACTAATTCACTCTAGAACTATGTGAAATATAAAGAGCAAGACATGAGAACCAGTAATATTTACACATTTTTAATATACGTTGTGTTAATAGTCAACATGTTTTTTCACGAATTGTTTACTTAAAAACACAATTTATTTTCATATGATGGACAATTCTCAATTTTCTGCTGCTTCCTCTCCACTGGTTTCAGTGTTTGAAATAAATTTCCCTGTGTTTCATGGGATTTAAAAGTTTGCATTTTCTATTTTGGTTTCAAAATCAAATTGAATATCTTTACTTAAAATGAGTATATTAATTATTTGTTCAAAGTACTTCAACACCAGACTGCTTGGGGAGCCAAGTGAGTTTGAATAGTAAGAATTCTTCTAAGGTCAAACAGATCATTTTGAACCTTCTCTTGGTTGCAAGCACTGATTGAGCAGTACAAATATTAATTTTAAAGTGCCACTATAAACAACTGCCAATCACAATCTCATTTTAAAAGTAAGACCTACAGAATTTAATTTGATTCTAAAATTTAAAGGGGCTACAGATTCTTTGTCAAATATGAGTGAGTGTAAAATAAAATTTAGCAACTAATGATAAACGAAACAACCTAATAATTACAGTTATTTAATAGTATAACCTGCAACAGTAATTGGTTTATGTTTAAAATAAATTCTATAACTTAAAAGAAGATTCCTGTTTTCAGATCCTAACAGAGGAAGGTTTTCCAACTGGGACCCCTGAAGAAATGGGCTTCTCCATTCTGAATTCCCATATTATAAGGCCAGACTGAGTAATTACAGTTTTTATTATACCTTGTGACAATGAAATCACGACATAAATTTCTGATGACTCTTTTTTGGATTCCCCAAGAATGGCAAAGATTTATAGTTACATACGATGAATCATATCTAAAAGGAAATTTATTGCACAATAATGTGGATAGAATTTCATTTATAAAGCTTATTTTTTCCTTCCCAAATGACGTAAATGATGACGATTAAAATCCTCCTTCTGGATTTAAACAGGGGACTAAAAGGTTTTTTTCTGAGGTGTTCAGTCTCAATGTTTTGATTTCTATGGGTAAAGAAGATATGTGGTACCATTCTCCATGCTAGATGGGAGAGACTCTCTGTTTAGAGTAATTGTGCAAAAGTTGTTAACCAGTTCAACTACGGAAAGTCTTGAAATTTACTGTAAAATCACAATTTTGGTTTCAATCTGACTAATTATTCAGCAATCTCCACAATTGCCAAACTGTAGAGAGAGGAGGAAGTAATTAAGACTTCAATATCTTCCTTACTCTTGATTATAATTTCATATACTTAAACTTTAAATATGAATTGCTTTCCCTTTTTACACAAGTTATAAAAATAAGAGGCCTTGTTTACACAGTTTGCATTTTTATGAAATTTGCAGTTTGAAAAAAAAGCTTTTTAAAAAGTGATAATTAATGCTTTTCTTTGAATATGCTGTAACCTTAGAATTTTTTTTTCTGAAATAGTTTCTGAATTTAACCCACTAAACATCTGAAGATAGAATTTTTATTTAGCAGTAGAGTAAAACTTACTAAGGACTGAAGAAAAGGAAGTCTTTTTCTTTCTGGTTCCACTTAATTTTCTTTGTATGTGGCACCCCCTTTAGGACAGCTATCCATATTATATTTAAATTTTATACATTGACAAAATGCAATCTACCTCTGTAAGCATTGTGCCTTTCAACAATGCTACTGTTAAATTTACATACCACAGTTTAAATTACATCCATTTCAGGAATGGTAAAATGCTAAAACTCGAGTGTCTAAATGCCTTACTGAAATGAGTACAATTTACAAATACAATAATTACATTTTAAAACCATTAACAATATTACACCTAGAAGTAAATACTGTAGGACTGGTCATCAAGGTAGCGTGTGAGGGAAATCATTGCCGAAAGTCACCGATGTTTCCAGCAGATATACCCCAAGTGCAGATTTTGGTTTGTTTTCATCAAGCCAAAATGAAAACCTGTTTCTCATACAACAGTTCTCCATTATACGAATCCTCCAATCCTTGCATAAGGTTTTATCAGTTATCTGCCAAGTATTTTCCTGCAAAACAAAACACCGTATCAGATGGTCACCTGGCAGTTCCATAATGTGGTTATTACGTGGGCAACATTTCTGTGCTTCCTGCCCTACCCCTGAAGCCATACACTGCATACTCGAGTGCTGCAATACTAATATAAAACAGGTAACGTTTTTCAAGTTTTCAATCTTGCAGACCAGCAGGTTTCCTTTTCATGTCTCCAAATGTGAACAATTTGTAGAGCTTTGGGTTTTACTCAGAATAGGTTGTTCCTGGATGTGAGAATCCGACTTGTTCTAGGAAGGGTGACCATACAATTACTTTCCAAACTGAGTCATCCTTGAAAGTTAAAGAGGTCTAATTAATAATTTCATCAGTCCAGCAGGCACAAACCCAGGACTCATCCCAATAGATCACTGATAAGTCTAATCACCCTAGTATTGGGGAATGCCCTGCCAGCAAACTAATCGTGTGTGTCAAAAACCTGGCTCACGGCCACATTCAGCTCGTGAACAACAGTTCCAATCTCTGGCCTAGGTTCTTTAAGGTTGCCGTTAAAATGAAAGATGGAAACTCTTGGATCTCAGCTAAGCCTGACAAGTCTAAAATCTATGAAGTCCTGTTGGAGAAACAAAGTTTTCAGGTAAGAGATAAATTCAAAGACAAATAGCATTTATCTCGTTTGTCAATATAACAAAAGTAGGATTTACTCCATTAACCTCAGTGTACACATCTATATGATGGGAAGGACTGGTCAGCCCCATACAGGAAACAGAACCAGAGCTACGATAAGTAGCCAGGGCTTTCCTAATTTCTGATTTCCACTTCAGTGTCCTATTTTTACTACACCCAACAATTGGTTTGCTCTCTAACGGGGATGGGAAATGGGACTGGGAGTGAGGAAGAGGAGGAGGAAGAAGATGAGAAAATCCTAATCTATTTCTTCTTAAGGAAGAGTAGCTAAGGCAACACTACTTTTGCCAATGAAGCTCACAAGATACCCACTTACCCGCAGCAAACCTTTTCTTGATGAGTGAAAATCGATATCCTGCTCCAACAAGTTCAATGTCGCAGCCAGAAAGCGTGCTTCCTTCACTTGTGAACTGCACAACCAATGGGGAAGCTTTGCTTGGGCCTTCAGACAACTGAAATCTTGCCAATAAGGAACCCACCCCTATAAAAAGAGTATTATTACAAGATAATAGTCAACGTCACATTCTGGATATAATTTTGAAAATTGTGTTCAAAAGTTGACATACAAAATCTAGCTTACAAGAAAATAGTGTATGTTTCAGTGACAAAATGGTGATGGATAAAATTTATCATTAAATATTATGAGCCACTCTATGCACACTGATGGAAGCGTAAGGCAGCCAAATGGCACTTCAAAATTCAGGAGCACGCTGCTCGCAAGGCAATGTATGCCAAAACTATGATTACTATCAGAGGAAAGTGAAAAACATCTAAATGATCAGGGAGTGTGAGATCTGACACAGACTGGAAACATGCCTCATTAAATGCTCTTCCCCACTTTAGAGAAGGTCTGTTTGATGGGGGGTCTTGGGCAGAAAAAGGGAAGCAGAAGATTCATTGAAGAATTATTTGCTTTTATTGGTTGAAATAAGTATATACCAAAATGAAGTGAAATATTTTGCTTGCTTTCAAGGCTAAGTATATTTTGGCTAATAGTTTTCAATACCTGGAAGCAATTTCAGCTTTATACATTAAATCAAATAAGACTGTGATTACATTACCTCCATTTTCTGACTTTTGGGAAATATCGGGAATCTTCCACAATATTCTTTGTTGTTCAGCATTCCTAAAAATGAAATAAGTAAAAGACTTTTGCATATGCAAGGGTTTTTGTTTAATTGTTGCCATAATTTTTCCAGATAGTGTTAATTTAAAAAAATTGATCTTGAAAATTTTAGCTACAATTTAAGCATTATCTATCTATCTATCTATCTATCTATCTATCTATCTATCTCCCTATCTACCTACCTATGCATCCATCCATTCAACCATCCATCCATTCATCCATCCATCCATTCCCACATAAATTCTCTCCTTTCCTATTCCTTATTGTAACTAGCCACAACACTACCAGATAGATAAACATTTAGGGAACAACGCAGTGAAATTTGTTTTCACACATCTACTGAAAAAATAGATGGGAAGTGTTAATCAATTAATTCAGATAATTTAAATTGGAGCTGTCATCTGGCTGACTTTTTTGTTTTTTTTAATTTTGCCTGTTTCTTTTTAGTTTTTAATGGAGCTAATGGATAATTTGTGTGTGTGAGGAAGATTGGCCGTGAGCTAACATCTGTCACTAATCTTCCTCTTTTTTTTAAATTTTATTTTTCCTTTTTCTCCCAAAGCCCCCCAGTAAATAATCGTGTATTTTTAGTTGTGGGTCCGTCTAGTTGTGGCATGTGGGACGCCGCCTCAGCATGGCCTGACGAGCGGTACCACGTCTGCACCCAGGATCTGAACCAGCGAAACCCTGGGCCACTGAAGTGGAGTGTGGGAACTTAACCACTCAGCCACAGGGCTGGCCCCAGCTTTTTTGCTTTTGTAGTGTTTTACTTTTTGCTTCTGACAATCGTATGGAAAAACTAGAGTATTTTTTCTAGGCGAATAAGTTCTTTTTAACAGCTGCTATTGGTACTCAGTGTCTATTCAGTTTCTGTTCCCATACCTTCTCTAATGTGCCATTTTATGGTCCAGAGGCTACAAAACAAAACCCTACATTTCTCAGACTCCCCTGTAGCTAGGGTCCTAGGTGTAGGACGCTTCACCAATTACATACACCACTTGAGATACGGACGATAGAAAGGAGGCAGAGGCCTTTCTCTGCTGCTTTCTTGGCTGTTTTCTGCTGGCAGCAACCTGAGATGAGGGATCTTCTGAGAACAGAGCTCTGGTCCAGTCTCCAGGTTCGTGGGTGTTGAGAAGCAGCTAGGGCAGTGCTGGTAGGAGCTTTCTCATCCCTGGAGCCACGTGGCAGTGGTGGGTTCTTGAATTCAGTGGCTCTGCTGGCAGCCTTCTGATTTCTCTCCTTCTTGGTTGTGGCAGAGGCAGCAGCTCCCCTGGTGGGCCAGTTCTGCAGTGCTCTGGGAAACATTCTTGGAGATCCAGCCTAAAGCTTATTCCTCCAGCACCTTCACCATTGGGTGAGCATCGAAATCCCTGTGTTAAATCATTTTCTGCTTAAAATAGCTACAGTGGTTTCTGTTTCCTGCCCTGAACCCTGACACACAGGCCTGCTGTGATCTCCTCCTGTGGGAAATACAAATGCTAAGAAGTCTGTGATCCCTTTGCCCCGAAGGAGCCCTTTGGTGAAGAGGGAGGGGAATGGCGGCTCCTTACCAGACTGCTGGGGGGAGAACGGCCTGCAGCTTGGTGACGCCTCCATCGATGGGGACCAGGAACTGCACGTTGTTGAGGGCCACGGCGGTGGTCATGGCATCTGTGTTGTATTTGTAATCTATGCGCAGGTCAGTGCTTGACGGCTCACAGCGCCAGTTCACCGCCAGGTTCAGAGGCGTGGACTGAATGCCCTGGGCAGACACCTTGCCAAACAACAGGAAAGAGAATATTTTAGGCTCGACTGTTGATCTGAAACAAAACTAGAAGCTATGATTATCTCCCATAGGAAGAGACTTAAATATCAAGGAGTTATCCCATTGTTTGTGCTGCTCACAAATGAGCTCCCGGTGAAAATCACCATGAAGGGTACCGTGTGAGGGAGAGCTGGGCCCTTCAGACAAACCATTACAGACGAAAAACATAAAATCAATTGCTAAAATCACTACAGCACTTTAGAGCTTACAATGCACGTTATGTGTAGGGAGGTGGTAGCACCCTGCTTAGGAGCTGACGCCAAGGAGTTAGAACTCCTGGGTCTGACTTCTGATTATCACTTAAAAGCTGAGTGATCTTGGATCAGTCACTAAGCCTCTCAGAGCCTCAGTTATTTCCTCATCTGCCAAATGGGGGTTATAGCAATAACACGTACCCACAGAGTTGTCAGGAAGATTGAAGGAGGTGTTTTATGTGAAATACTCAGCATAGTGTCTGGCACACGGTAAGGAGCTAAGGTTTTAATGAACGTTACCTATTAATAGTCTTATCCTATTTACTCTTCCCAAGAAACCACTGATTTAGATGAAGCTGATTATTATTACTCCTTTGGCATTTGCTAAAGTAAGGGCTTGAACCCAGATCCTCTAACTGGGAGGGATGCATTCTACTGTCTACTGTCAGCTCCAGTTAGAATCAACTGTGAGTTTGACTAAGGAAAAGCCAGGTTTGAAGAATCAACAAAAATTATCTAAAGACAATAATATGAACTTGAATTCTGGGTCCACAGTGAAAAAAATCAGAGTATTGTTATTTCCCAATCCTTCCCTGTGACGATGACTAGCTCTGGGAGAGTCTCCTTGTACAAGTACACACACTGGAGGGCTGGGGAGGGGGTGTCTATGTCCTTGCAGTTTTATTCATGGAGTATGAGTCTTGCAGGTTTGGAAGAATATACACAGCTCTTTATTGGCTGAGCAATGTCTGCACACATGGACACCGTGGAGAGGGTCCTGGGGCAGGTTGAGCGCACAGGCAGGAGGGGTTGCTGCAGAAACAAGTCCAGGAATGAGTTTTTTAATAAAATGACAGACATGGCTTTTGATGGCAATTTTAGATAACCATTATAATTTTTAACTTTCAATATTTTTAGCAGCAGAATCCTCTGCAAATAAACTTTTATTTAGAAACCTGTTATTTAAGATAGCTCACAAGCAGAGCCGGCTCGCTATCCTGGCCCTGTGTCTGCCCTTTATCCTCAGCAGTTCTCTGCTTGAGAGTGGTTCCTCTACCCAGCCAGGCACTTTTTGGAAATGTGAGGGTGTGGTTTTTATTGTCCAGTTCCAGGGGGATGCTACTGGTGGCCAGAAACCAAACATGCTGCAATTGGAGGGCAATCCCACAAAACACTGGCTGTGCCTCCCTCCCAAATCTTTGCATTGTTGAGAACAATGAAAACACAACTGAAAGCGACCAAAGGGATTCCTCAGAGCACACTTGAGAATGAAATGATGAAACGATGGGCCTGGGGCTATTACATTTCACCAAGTGCTTGGACATCTACTGGGCTCCTAGCTCCTCACAATAACCCACGAAACATCTAGGTGTGGCATTATTATCCTGATTTGCAGGTGAGGAAACTGAGGTTTCGGGGGGGTGGGGCAAGTGCCAGGATGCAGCTGACTGCACTCTGGAATCCAGAGTCTTGCCCACACTTTAGCCCTTGACCTCAGGCTCATGTCGCGTGACAGGTGCATTCGTCTCCTTTCTAGGTTCACTTAGTAACAAGTATGGAGACTAAAAAAATCTCACAGGACTGAAGATTTCAAAAAAAATTTTAATCTGAAGTGAAAATGTACATGCAGTGTTTTCAGCGAAAGTTCATGAAAGAAAACAACTACAGTCTTGTTTTTTGGGCATAAGAACCATGCATGTGTCCTGAAATTTAACTTCTCATTCAGGGAAAAAGTACCCTGGACTTCCCTTTCTTACTCCTTCCTACTTCTCTCAGAAGTGTAAAGCAGTCACTAAGTGTGTTTATACGTTTTGGGGGGAAAAAGTTAAATAAGTTAAATAAAAAATGTATTTTTATCATATTTAATTATAAAAGTGATGAATTTCTGTTGTATCATTTGTTCACTATTATCGATAATGTTCAAAGTTTAGATGATACTATTCTTACAGGAAAAACATTATATTCATTTGCATTTTTGTAAAATGTACCATCACCTAGATACTTTACCTTCAATGATTTCCTTACACCGATCTAGATAAGTGGTTTTCAACTTGTAGGGTGCGTTACGATCACTTGGAGAACTTGTGAAAAATACAGATACCTGGGTCACGTCCTGAACCAATTAAGTCAAAACGTGTGGGAGTGTCAGGGCCCAGGAGACATCTCCCTCTATCATCTCTATCTCTGTTTCTATCTCTCCCTCTATCATCTCTATCTACATCTGTATCTCTGTCTCCTCTCTATCCTCTCTATCTCCGTCTCCATCTCCATCTCTATCCCTATTTCATCTATATTCAGCACCAGATCAGACCCAACATTTGTTTACAAGTACCTTGATGATTGTAAATACAGTCATGTTTGAGATGCACTGATTTCTATTAAAGTACAATTTAAAAAAACAATAATTTAGTTTCCTCATCTAAGAAAAATGATTTGAGTATATTTGATCACAAAAACTACAATGCATTAAAAACAACCTGGGAGATCAAGTGGCTGGGAACCAACGGGCTGCTCAGGCTCCAGCGAAGCCTCGTTTGAAATAGGCTTATTTACTAGATCAGTGAGGATTTGGGGTAAGGGCAATCCTAGACACGGAATGAAAGTCCTCATATACTCTACTGTGTTGTACTGAACATTGTTTTAAGATTAAATGATCTCTTAACATAAGTTTCATTAGAATTTATTTCATAGGACCATCACGTTAGGAGAAAACACCAGACTGCTTACATTTAGTCATTTAAAATAAGAGGTTTGAGTACAGTAATGCTCTTAACAAAATTACAGTGAACTAGTTTATTGATACTTGTAATCTTAATTAATGTAATTTTCTGAAGCTTCATTTTTGTGGCATATTTCTCTAATTTTTTAATAAAATATTTTTCTTGTAAGTTTAAACTAGTAAGGATATGTATGAATATTCCTGTCACCAAGCAGTCTCCAAGTAGTCTTTTAAGATCTTTTTCTTATAAATTATAGCTTTTAAATAATATTAAGGGAAATGTTGCTTTATTTACTTTTACTTAATGTTAGGCACATTAGAATATACATTTACAATGTGAAAGTGACACCCTGGCAGTATAGACAGGCTTACCTGATACTTGAGCATGTCCACATTATAATATGTAGCCTGGGGTTTCTGTTCCGACACTTTCTTTAGGTGAGTCATCAAATTTGGCATGTTTACCCAGAATTCCTTGGTATTGGCATCATTTTGGGTATTATCGCTGTTTAATTGGGAACAAAAAATGATTGAGTAGCATTTTATAATCGATGGAAACCACAAGAGCAGCATCTCAGCAAATTGCCATCTGATCTCTATATCCATCTTTGACAATCTGTAGAAATTATATTATTAACAGTAGTATGGTTTTAGCACAGTTGTAGTTCTGAATGGTATTACGTTAATAGATTAATACCCATGCGGAAGCATTATTATATTGCTATACATCTCAGTGATTACCCAGGCATATTAAGCAATCATGATGATAATTGGTTGCTTTAAACAGTAAATTATTTATTAACCCAAACTTAATAGGCTTTTCTGTATCACCAGTTTCCCCTGAATTAGTCGGTTAATGCAATCAAAAAGCTGAGTATATTGATTTTCTTTTGAATTGACCTGAACGGTAGTTTCTCAGAAATTGAGTTAAATATTTGGCCCAATGTTAACATGGTCTTTATCTCCAACTGAGGAGAAAGGGGCGATACTAAAATGACCAGACCACCTTTTTAGCATTCGAAAAATTTCATCTAAAAGCATCTAAATCATAACAAAAGTCACTCCACTGACGAGATGATCCTGGAGTTTAAATGATAATGACCATGGTAGTTCCAGGAGAGAGGTGCAGTCTTGAGGAACTAAGGAGTCCTGTGTTCCTGTGGAAGTCATTAGCTCTGCTCAGAGCCTGTCCATGTCTTGCAAATGCTTGTGTTAAAGACAGAAGGAGTCGGGCAAGAGTGTGACAAGCATCTGCTCACTTCCCTCATGACGAGGAAACTGAGGGTCCAGGTGATTGAGTAATCTGACGTACAACTCCTTTACTGAGATTTCACTTTCAGAGTACTCTGTATAACACAACAATAGCGGCTACAATTTTAGGAGCACCTGTTATGTGCTTAGGTATTCTGTTAGATATATTATAAACCATTTCATTAAAATTTGCCCTTCAAAGAAGAGCTATCTTCCTTTTTAAAGATGAGCAAATGTTGTAAAAAGAGAAAATTAGAGGTTAAGAAGAGAGAGAGTTGGCAGCAATAAAATGATGAAGGCAGGTCGAACCTAAGTCGCCACGATCCAGCCTCCAGAAGTCAAACAGATCAAGAGGGCTGAGTCAGAGGTATCAGGGCCTTAAAACTGATACTGGTCTGTTAGGAGGCAGTGGTGGTGGCGCCAGGTCTCAGCATGGCCCATGTGGCTCGCTGGGCCTTGGGATAGGTTCTTGAGGACAAAGCAAAGCTCTAGGACTCTGGGCACGTAGGGAGTGGATGGAGAAGACTCTTGGCTGCTGAGACTCTGCTCCTGGTCAAGCAGAGCTAAGGATGCTGAGAACGGCTGTCTAAACTTTTCTTATCTAACAGCATCCAAGTGACCCAGAGCTTCTGGAGCTGTAGCTACACTAGAAGGTAGGAGATAAGAGTAACAGAGGTTCAGAGAAATTACGCAATTTGCTTAAAGTTGAACAGCTAAGAAGTCACAGAGTCAGGATTCCAGCCCAGGTCAGCCTTCCTACAGGTTATACTTTCTTACTATAACAAAACAAAGGTGGGGAATTAATATCCGGCAACGTGTCATGAATTTGTACCAAGTAGATGTGAATAATTGGGGAGAATTTCAATTGTACTATTTTTTTAACGAAATGCATTTACTAAGTTCAATAACAAAATATGTCTAAATAATAGTCATATGTCTAAAATAATTCCTCAGAGAACTTGCTTTAAGAAATATTCCAGAAAGCTTTGCCCATCAAATGCTTGCACAGAGATGCAATTCTTGAATGCTCAAGAAGTCTTGAGAATTCTTTAGTCTCATAATTAGTTTAATAATTGTTCCTGAGCATCTTTTACAAGCAAACCCCTTTCATAAGGGAAAAGTAGAAGTAAACTTCAATTTGGTCCCTGTCGCAGGACTTGCAAACCCCAATATCTCCCGGGGCCCAACTGCCAGCATAAATGAAGTTTTCCAGTAAACACAAATGAGAGAATAGGCTGGGGGTAAGACGGTAGATGTGAAAGGCTTGCCTTGTAATTGAGAATAATGCTTGGTTACCTTGCCTTTTAAAAATTGGGGGTGGTAGCAGTGGTGGTGAGCAGTACTTTGTAACAAAACCAAATAGGCCATATGACTAACGCGTTACCAATCACAGCCCTGACACAATAATCACATATTTAAAGTCAACAAGGTCTAAATTAATGACAACATTTTATTTTCGTTTTCTATTTCTTTATTTTAGCTAATAATAATTTAAGGGTCTATATACCGTTTTGCCAAACAAAAACATTCTCAGAATACTTAATTCAATTCATGACTGATATATTAATATAATTATATTATATTGCACATATGCCTAAGAACTTGGCAACATAACTGCCTAAAAATGCAACAAAAACTGTAACTATCACACCAGTCATATTACAAACAAGCCAGTGAGATGGCGGCACCTAATTCCTAATTTCAGATGGAGGAACCTCAAAATATAAAATGAATTCGCTCAATGTGCACAGCAAAAACGTGGAGGGAGGGGCGGGCCCTGTGGCGGAGTGGTTAAGTCCACGCGCTCTGCTTTGGTGGCCCAGGGTTTCACAGGTTTGAGTTCTTGGCACGGACATGGCACTGCTCGTCAGGCCATGCTGAGGCGACGTCCCACATAGCACAACCAGAGGCACTCACAACGAGAATATACAACTATGTACTGGGGGGCTTTGGGGAGAAAACAAAAGAAAAAAAGGGAGATTGGCAAAAGTTGCTAGCTCAGGTGCCAATCTTTAAGGAAAAACCGTGGAGGGAAACTTCTTTTGAAATAAGAAGTTGCTGACTTCCAATCTTGATCATTTCACATTTGTTTTTCATTTAATGGGCAATGATTTCTGTCACACCTTTAAACCTAGAATCAAGTTTTCTGGTTAAGACATTGAAAGGAGGAGGAGGTGATCTTGGTAATCACCTGAAGGACCTGTTTTTGTTTTTCTGGTGAGGAAGATTGGCCCTGAGTTAACATCTGTTGCCAATCTTCTTCTTTCTGCTTGAGGAAGATTGTCGCTGAGCTAACATCTATGCCAGTCTTCCTCTATTTTGTATGTGGGACACCACCTCAGCATGGCTTGATGAGCAGTGTGTAGGTCTGGGCCTGGGATCTAAACCCATGAATCCCAGGCCACTGAAGCAGAGCACATGAACTTAACCATTATGCCACTAGGCCGGCCCCCCATGACTTGTTTTTTTACCACTGGAATGAAAAACTCTCATTCAGTCAAGAAAATGAGTGACTATATTCGTCCTCAAATTCTAAATACCAACAACTTTTAGTTATTTCTACATAAATATCTGGCTTGACTAAATTCTTTAAATTATAGTCAAGTTGTTCCTTCATTCAACAATATTACTCCAGTCCTCATTAGATGCCAAGCTCAGCGGAAGGTGCTGAGGATGTGGTGGTGAACTATAGATGTACTCCATTCCCTCACGGATTTTACAGTCTAGTGAGGAGATGGGTGAATGAAGAAACACGAATGGATATATAATTACTAATTTATTAAGTGTGACAAAGGGAGAGAATAGGGGCCCTGAGAGGAAATAACAAGAGGACACAGTATTCAATTTGGGAATGGTGGCTAGGGGCTGGAGAGGAGAGTGGGATGGTCAGGGGAGGCTGAGCGGGGCTGAGACCTGAAGGATAAGTAGGAGTCAGGTGAAGAAGGGTGGGAAGGGTATTGGAGGCAGAGGAAACAAGCACACAAAGCCCTGGGGGGGAAGGACTCAGCCCGTTTGACATCTGGCAGGACTGGCTGGAGCTACAAGGCTGCTGAGGCAGGTTGGTGGGAGATGAGGACCGAGAGGAGCGGACGGCTCAGGGCCTCACAGGTGAGGGTAACAGGTTTGGATTCTGGTCCAGATGCAATGTGGAGTCACCAGAGGTTATGAGCAAGGACGACCTGATTCGCCTCATAAAAGTTCATCTGGCTGTTGCGTGACAAACGTAGGAAGGGGCCAAGTTTGGATGCTGAGAAGGAAGAGGGAAAGCAATGCTGTGGTCCAGGGAAATGACTATGGTCACCTGGACAAGGGAGGTCACCATCGAGGGGAAAAAGTGGCCACTTTAGAGAGATTTTTAGATGGAATATCAGGACTTGCTGATAGAGAGGAGCTGTCAAGAAGAACTCTTTTCATCTCATCCATTGCAAATAGTTAATTTGTATAGTTGATCGTCTTTAATGGCATGTACTGTGTGTGTTTGCGTGAATATGCGTGTGCATTTATATGATAAAGACAATCATATTTAGATTTAATAGGAAACGTGAAGAAGTATATTTACATAACCAAATTCACAGAAGCTTCTTTGATGTCATACACATAAAGTTCTATCAAAACAATTACCTCACAGTGAAATTACATGTTTCACAAAACAGATTTTTAAGCTCATATGAAGAGTAGTTCACAGCTCAAATATCACTTGGTTTAAAAAGATGCTAATGCAACAAATGGCTTGTACTCCTTTTATTGGGCTCTTTTCCCACCATCCTCACCCATTGTCTACCGATGGTAAGTAAAACAGACAATGAATAAATTGTCACTAACACAGACTTCATTACTCTAAACGGCTCATTAGCCACTTGAGACAGTTGACCATTAAAATACATACATGCACACACACAACCACCCACAGAAACTACAGCGGGTGAGAGTTCTGGGTGTGAATCTACAAACGTATCTGCGCAGTGGTAATTTCTCTACAGTGCTGCTCTCTTGCTAAGGTATATCCCCCACCTAAGCATAAAGCTCGAAGCCACACACATCTCTAAAAAATTCGTGCAAAATATATTTACCAGCAGAGAAGTTGGGGATTTGGCAGGACGTGTTCTAACCTGCTGAAATTTATCACCCGGAAAGTCAGAGCCGCTGGCGATGGGTTGTTGGCAAAGTGTCTGGTGATGCCGGCAGGAAAGGACAACACCATTTCTCCGGTAATCTTCACAATACATCTGGCGCATCAAAACACAGGAGAGGAAACATGGGTCAACATGTGTGAATCAAAACAGTGGTGAAAAAGGCATTACGCAGCAGAGGAGCCAAAACGTAAGCTCTTACAATTCCACTCTCAACTGCTAATTCACTTTTAAGCCCCGAGAACTCAATGGTTTGTTTTAATATTCATCCGAAAAAAGTGGCCATTTTTTTAAATGTGTTTTTGAACTGTAAGAAGAAAAGTGCAGCTTTTCCCCTCCTGTAGAAAAGTCTAAATGTTCACCTTACAAATAGAATCATCTATTCTGGTGGTTCTCTCTCTGACTTCTGAATTTTCGACAGCATATGTGAAGATATTAAATTACACAATGTTATCACACTGTTCTTCAGGACTTGTTTGACTTTGAGTAACATGACACATGCCTCAAGCATGTTCTTCTATATTCTCACTAGGTAAACTTCTGGCTTCCCACTTAACTAGATCTTCATTCCATTCGCTCGTCTATTTGGTTGAAATTGTAAAATAATTATATAAGTTAACACAATAGGAGGATACTTTGGAAGGAAGAATAATCTTGTTTTTTAAAAAAGGGCTTTATTGATGTATAAGTGACATATAATAAATGGCTCTCAATTATAGTGTAAAATTCTGTAATTTTTGACATAGCATACAACTGTGAAACCATCATACAACCAAGATAACAGACATACCCAACATTCCTAAAACTTTCCTCCTGCATTTTTGTAATCTCTCTCTCCTGCTCTTCTCCTTCCTTCCACTCCTCAACCCTACGCCACCGCTAATATGCTTCCTGACACTACACATTAGTTTGCACTTTCTAAAAATGTTATATAAACAGAATCGCAAGGAATGCAAATTTTCTTTGGTTTGGCTTCTTCCACTCAGCATAATTATTTTGAGATTCCTCCTTGTAGTGTATGCATCAATAGTTCATAACTTTTCATTGCCAGCTAGCATACGGATGTACCAGAGGTTTTGTTTTTTGTTGTTCATTCATCTGTTGAAGAACATTTGGATTCTTCCGAGCTTTCGCCTGTCGCAGATAAAGCTGTGATGAAGAGGCATGCTCCATCTTTGTATGGGCATGTGCTCTCATTTCTCTTGGATGAGTATACAGGAATGGAATCACCAGATCACATGGTAGGTGCACCTTTAACTTTTTAAGAAACTGCTAAACTGTTTTCTAAAGTGGAAAAATACAGCTGCGTAGGAGAGTACAGTTTTTCCACATCCTTACCAACACCTGGTAGGATCTATCTTTTGAATTTTAGCCATTCTAATAGGTGAGTAGTGGCTTCTCATTGTTGTTTTAACCTGCATTTCCCTAATGGCTAATGATCTTAAGCATCTTTTCATGTTCTTATTTGTCATCAGTTACCTGCTTTGGGCAAGTGCCTGCTCAAATTTTCTACCAATTTTTAAATTGAGTTTTCTATTTTCTTATTGAATTTTGAGAGTTCTTTATACATTTTGTATACAAATCACTTATCAGATACATGCTTTGCAAAGATTTTTTTTCCCAGTCTGTGACTTGCTTTTTCTTTCTCCTAAGAGGACCTTGGAAGGGCAGAAGTTTTTAATTGATCAGTTTATTCTTTTATGGATTGTATCAATTAATTTATTTTTTTAGAATCCTGTCTAAGAAATCTCTGCCAATCCAAGGTCACAAAAGTTTCACCTGTATTTTCTTCTACAAGTTTTTCACGTTTAGCTTTACATTTAGCTTTATGACCCATTTTTAGTCAATTGCTGTATAAGGTGTGAGGAACGGATTCAAGTTCATTTTTAAGTGTGTGGATATGGATGCTTGATTGTTCTAGCGCCACTTGTTGAGAAAAGACTGTCCTTTCTCCACTGAATTTCTCCACTTGGCAATTCTGGTCAAATTCAGTTCTCCATCTATGTGTGGGTCTATTTCTGGATTCTCTATTCTGTTCCCCAGATCTTTTTTGTCTGTCTTTTCACCAATATCACACTGTCTTGATTACTGTAGCTTTGTAATAGTTCTGAAATTAAGTAGTGTTAGTCCATCAACTTTGTTCTTTTTTCAAAGTTGTTTTGGCTATTGTAGGTCTTTTGCATTTCCACATGAAATTTAGAATCATTGTATCAATTTCTATATAAAATCAATATAGTTCCATTAAATTAGTGCCTGCTCTGAGAAAATTACTGTTGAACCCTGCATGTATTTTTTCTTTGCCAACGAGCACCATGTTTTGTCAGCAGAGGGTGCTGGAAAGATACTGCAGGAAGAAGAGATTTTTCCCTCCTGTTCCAGCGTGCTGGCTGGGCAGGCTCTGCAGTACTCGGGGTTTATCTCGTGCCAGGCTCTTGCAGCACAGGAGGGCTGTGTGTGACTCTTGCAGTGCATGTGGCACCCCCGGTGTGTGGATTTGCTAGTGCCCAGTAGCACAGGCAGCCTTCTGGGCATCTGGCTCCTGCAGTGCACATGGCTGCCCCAGGCCCCAGATCCTGCAGGGCAGGTGGACTCTCCAGCACCAGGCTCCTGTCATGTGTATGCTGCCTCCACAGTCAGCGTCTGCAGTGCATGGTGGCCAGCAATACCCACTGGCCATCGGCTTCCTCTGGTACCCCCTCAGCCAGTCTAGTCGTGGAGTGTGCCTCAGTGAGACACCTCCCCATGGACAGCTGGGAGTCTGCTGGGCTCCCCCTGTGCCACGGCCTGAAAACCCTCAGGAAAGTGAGCTGGGGCAATCATACGGCACACCCTGCCTCTCCGGGGGCACTGTCCTTCACCCGAGGGCCAGTGTCTTGGAAATCATTGTTTCATATATCTTGTTCGCTTTTGAGCTATTTTCAGGTGGAAAGGTAAATGGTCCCTGTTACTCTACCTTGGCCAAAAGCAGAAATCTCAAAAGGATTATTCTTCTTCAGGAAACAGTAAATATTTGAAATGAGTCAGCTTCTTTATGACTTCCCCATTCCTCTGGATAACTGACCCTTGCACAGTTCTACAACTTTGAGCTCAAGAGTGTACTCTCTAGGGAAACCGAGGTTAATAAACGAAAACTGCTCACATCCGTATACTGGTAACTGTGATTGATGAGGCGCTTGCGGCTCAGGTGAGATGGTCCTGGGCACACATTCAGAATAGTTTGTGTGAAGAGCTGCTGTAGCCTTGTGTGTACAGGGCTGGGTTTGGGGTAGAGGCGGAGGGCCGGTGAGCTTCCTAAAGTCGTCATGCTCCCCCCTCCCCCCCGATATTATCATTGGTAATTCTGCACTGCTCTGAATGAGAATTTTGGTTCCCGGAAATTTGCACCTCCATCTCTTCTGAAGAATACTGCTGATCTCCTGGTGTGGTGCCAACTCTGCTGTCTTCCTTCTCTATCTTTTAGATCCATAAACCTTGCTTGATTTACTGATGCTGAACTGGTGCTGAGCCTGGACTTCCCATCAAGCTGAGTCTACTTGTGATGTTTTTCAACATGTGGACATGCAGAATATTGTCTGACAACTTTAGAAGAAAACAGTAATTAGTCAGATCACTTGTTCAATTAACCTTCGGCGCCTAGCATCACTCAGCATATGGTTAGCAGTGGTGACCCAAAGGTTTTCTAATGGATGGGTATCTGCTCAGATTCTTTTCCAGTTTGCTCAAAATGAGATCTAAGGATGTCTTGGTGGGGGATAAAACTTCTCTTTTGAAAGCAAGTCAGCAAGGGGACGAGGTGGCAATTATTAAGTCAATAAACATTTATTAGCTCCTAACTATGTAAGTTGCTTTCTGTTTGTTTGTTTTTTGAGTAGGAAGGCAATTAAAAAATGAGCAAAACAGCCCCTTCTCTCACAGGGCTTATAGTGTTGGGTGGACGATGAGAGAAGTAGTCAATAGGAGCCAATATAAGCACCAAGCCTCCTTACTTAGTTACGTTTCTGGGCTTTGTCTCAACTGTCAGAGTCAGATCTTTGCTGACTTATTAATCCATCCAATGTCTAAGTCGATCTCAAGTTTTCTATGTGAAAATTATTATTTTCAACCTACACTCACAAAAGGAAGATCTTTGTTCAACCTTAATGATTGCTCCTATCAGTACGCAATGTGGCTACGTTTCATGTGAGTTTGAATTATGGAAATCTTAAATACTGCAATACGGAAATATTAACAAACTTACTTTATGAATAAAACTTGAAGTCATGTGCATCCCCACAAATGAAACGTTTGTAAAGAATGGCAAAATTTCAAAGTCAACTGGCCAAGTGACTTACAAACTCGGCTCTCCCTATCTGCCACAGGAAGCGCCGTGTTAGCCAGTCAACAGAAATGCCGGCCAATTTTGGTCAGGCAACGTGTGAATTTGATTTATGTGAGACCATGAGAAATGCATCCCTCTCATAAACTATGGCTTCTATGTGCTGCTTTGATAAGCAAGCCACGGTCTTCTTTTCTGAGCGTACATCCTCTGGGTGTATGCAGCTTCCTTTCCTTTGTTTATAATCCCCTTTCATCTGCTCAGGTACTAGACAAACTCCTTTTCATATTTCAAGACTTAGTTCGAAGGCAGGCTTTCCTTAATATCCTTTCCATTCAGACTTCCTTCGTTTTTCCTTTCTCTAGGCTCCTTGGACAAATGCACAGATTTTTTTTTTTTTGAAAACTATTTTGTAGTTTCTTGCACGTATCTTACTTACTATTGTGAAGGCAAGTACTGTGTCTGAGGTTCTGGGAAGATGAAGATGCACGACACAGAACCCATTGCAGAGGAGGAACTCAATAAAATGTTTTAAAAGAAAATCCACACACTTAGCAATTATATACAGGGTGCCTATAAAATGTACTAGGCATGGTGGAATGCACTAGAATGAGCAGTGAGAAACAGGACAAACGTGGTCCTTGCCCAAACCTCCAGTTTAAGGAGGGAGACAGAGACTTGAATAATAATTGAAATATGATGATCAGGAAAGAATAGAACATCGCTGAGAAACTTAAGTTTGTCTGGGGGATTATAGAATTAATCCTTAGCACCAATGTTCGAATAGGAGCTAATAATGGGAGATGTGTGCCCCCGCCAGAAGCAAAAGTCAAGGAGTCCTCTGCCCACGAGCTACTGAGAAGGACTCAGACGTCAAAATACCTGTTACAGGTGTTCTGAATACTCACGGAAAGAGTGTAACTATATTTGAATGGATTGTATATCATAATATGTAATAACTAAGGTAGTGAATTTTGGTTTCCAATGTGTGGTCTGAAAATAATGGGGAAGGCTTTGCTGCAGGACGAGGGAAGCTCAGGCAAAGCAAATCCACATCCTTTGCTGCATCATTTCTCCACGCGGTGCTGGGTTTGGCTTTATCCTCCCCCTCCCCACCTCACCCCACGATCGAACTTTCGAACTTGAGTTATTTCCTTGAAAATGAATAACAAAGGAACAGCAATTAAAATGATTCACTGCCTGGAGATGAAATTAAATTTAGAAGAATGTCACTTCATGATCTGTTCATAAATTTCAGATCTCATAATTTCAATGAAATATACTGAATTTTCCCTCTACCAATAAACAGTATATACTGCAACTACTTATGGCAATACAGTCGAAAACAAACTCAATATAGGCAGCCACCCAGAAGTCAAAGGCTCAATTCATTTGGAAGGGCATAGGAAAAGCACTAATATTAATTTGGCTCAAGTGCCACGTCACTGGAATGCCAAGGTCATGGATACCAGGCTCACTGGTGTGGACCTCCCCGCACGCCTGTTGTAGTGTGCTGGGGAAACTGACACAGGATGAAGAACTCGGCTTGTATAGGGACAGGCGCACAAGGTAACTGGTGGGTTGCTACGCTACTTCTTGGGATTTAAAAAAGACTATTATCATGGGCTTCTTAACTCCCATTGCATCACATCTACGCCCCTCCTAGAGTGGACTTTCTATTATATTTACGCACAAGTCTTATTTTCCGTATCAACGGTCTTCACCCGCAATACATCCCATCTAGCACAATGGCAGGCACATAGTAGCCATTCTGTAAACGTTAGGTGAGTAACTGAACTTGTTTAGCAAATGTGCATTGAGTACTCCATGCCAGGTCCGGTTTTAGGTGCTGAGGATACAGTAATTAACAAAATGCTCAAGGTCCCAGGTGTCATGGAGCTTACATTCCAGTGGGGGAAGAGAGAGCCAGTGGACACTGAGAACATGTAACATGCTAGTTAGAGAGAAGGGCTATGGAAAAAGAGAAAGTGAGGTAAGGAGGAAGGAAGCGTTAACAGTGGATGGAGAGGAGTGTTGCCATTGTACCTAGGATGGACAGCGAAGGCCTCTGGTAAATCTGCTGAAGAATCACAAGGGAAGTGAGGGGACAAGTCACTCAGTTGGCTGGGAGAAGGTTTCACCAGGGTCGAAGGAGCAACAAATGCTAAGACCCTGAGATGCCGTTGGGGTTGGGGTGATGCAAGAGAAATAGCCGTGAAGACAGTGTGGCTAGAGGGACTGAATAAGGCGGTGAGTGATGGAGACAAGATCAGAGAGGTGGCAACTGGGACGGGGTAGGGGTCTCAAAGGACGGATCACATAGGGCCTTGTAGACCAATATAGACTGTTTCATTTTTACATTGACCAAGATAGGAGGATTTTGAGCAAAGGAGTGACGCGATACATTGAGAATAGATTTGGGGGGGTGGCAAAAGTGGAAGTACCCCCACTACCAATTAGTCTCTCTGAATAAATGAAAGAATGAAAGCCAATTAGTAAGCAGACAAGAAAGAATTCATTCTTGTGTGATTCCCAGTGTTTTTCACTCCACTACAGATAGCCCTCTGCCCTCCTGACTACTCCTATATTTTTTAAGCTGTGTTTCTACCCTCTTTTCTCAACTCAGGTCAGCCTGAGCTTCCTAAGGTCTAGGTCTGTCAGTCATAAGTAGTCCTTACAAGTGGTATGACAGGAAGTTATGCAAATTCTTTGTTCAAAGAAGAGTCTGCAGAACAAACATGTATGTATGTCTATAAAGCATATATACCACCCACGCTCATGGTCCTCACTTGTGCTAACAGTTCAAATGCACCCTCTGTATGAGGTAGCTTTAATTTCTATGGATATGTGGATGTGGCTGGCAAATGACCTTCCTGCTCTGGAGATTAAAGAGGAAAGACATGGGAGAAACCAGAGTGCTGTAGACTGAATGTTTGTGTCCTCCCAAAATTTATATGTTGACACCCAATCCCCAATGTGATGGTATTTGGAGGTGGGGCTGTTGGAAGGCGATTAGGTCATGATGGTAGGGCCCTCATAAATGAGATCAGTGCCTTTAGAAAAGAGACCCCACAGAGCCCAGCCCCTTCCACCACATAAGGTTACTGTGAACCAGGAAGCTGGCTCTCACTAGACACCGAATCTGCCAGTGCCTTGATCTTGGACTTCTGGCCTCCAGAACTGTGAGAAATAGATTTCTGTTGTTTATAAGCCACCCAGTCTATGGTAGTCTGTTATAGCAGCCCAAATCGACCAAGACACCAGGGTCCACAGTGTTGTTTTTCTATAATACTCTGGACCTAGAATAAAACCTAAATGTTGTTTAAAAGGACGTGACATTTAGGGAGGTTGACAGACCCCATTGGCTAGGCAGGACACTTAAAGGTGGAGTTACTAATTATGTTAGTTTCCTAGCATAATATTGTTAGATTTAGACTTCAAAATATGAATGTTTCTGAAGTGTAAAAAGAATTCATGATTAATCATACAGATTCCCACTTAAATTATATGTAGAGATCCAAGTTCTATATAAAATAGTCTAGTGTTCTAAATGCTCATTTAATTTTTTCTCTCATTCTTATTTCCAAGGATTCTAAGATTTTCTAAACCCCAGTCCTTGTTAGTAAAAAATAAAGAGCAATTCTCTGCTTACCCAGGTCTGCCCTTTATATATCCATCACAGTCAGATTCGTAATTGCATTAGTGACACACTTGAAAACCAGTTTGACTTAGGTGGTTAGTTTTCAGTGTAGATCAATAATCACTCTTAACTTTTTTTTTGGATCATGAACCGCTTTATGAAATTGCTGAATGCCGTAGACACTCTCTGTGGACAAATGCACATATGCGCACACACACAAGATATGCAAAATATCTTGCATCCAATATATCCCACAGATTTCAGGGAATCCACAGACTTCCTGAACCCTATCCATGGAACTTCTCATAAGAAGACAAAATATTTAATTACATTACATGTGCATTCAGTCTAGTCCACTGTCTCTACGTAGTGATACAGGAGAAATCAGGCTCATGACGATGGAAGGTGGTGCATTTTCCCCTAGAATTTATACTTTGCTGTGATTATAATTTGTCTTGTCAACTTTTCCTTACTTAGTAAGGGTAATATATAACTTGTCCTCTTACTAATCTACGTGTTATGGAAAGGTGTTTATTTTCCAGCTTCTCATTCCAATGCACAGTTGTTTCAGTTTGTATGTGGGTGACTCCCATATGTCCAGGAAAGACTACGACAATAAAGACAAGATCTAGACATTCAGATCTAGATCTAGATAATACATTTTCTCACTGCTGATAGACTTCGGTTAGGGTTTTCTGTAGCTTGTGACCAAAACTGAATCAGAGATCTCTGGATAGTGAGATATTAGATTCTTGGACCTTCTGGAAGATTTTCTTCAAAGCAGTGAATTAATATTCCTAATTAGTTCTGCTCCTCCATTCTGGGTATGCCACCTGTTATTGTTCACTGGCTTTCTTTTGGTTTTAAGATAAGGAATGAACTAGTTATATTTAGGGTTCCCCCACTGAATAAGATAGAGTTTGGAGACTACAGTAGATCAAGCCGACAGCCCAGGCTTACTTGCTTGGATCTGCTCCTTTGAAGTAGGCGTTGACCGTTTCTGTAAATGCTGCTGCAACGGGCAGGGTGTCCTGGGCGCCCATGGTAAGGGGGCTGGGTCCTCTGGAAGAACCTGCAGGAAATGAAAGACTTTCCTTTATTATGGACACAGGGACACCTTAGTGCATGTAGGACTAAAAGTCCATTAGAGGATCACAGGATGAAATCTGTTACTGAAAAGACATGTAGTGTGCTAAGAACCAGAACTCTAAATATTCAACATAGAGCTCAAGTATTTAAAAGGAAATATTTGGCTGCCTTACAGACAAACACACTTGAAATTAATCCCATTATGTATTTTACCACAGAAAAAAATCCAAGCAGAGAATAAAGCCATAGAGGCTTTCAATGCTTTACATAAAGCACAGGGCAGTATTTGCATGACAGTTTGTACAGCAGGTAATTAATACAGGAAATCATTAGTTTCCTATTTGAGCATTCACCCTATACAGTTGCCCAAACACTCAAAACTTTTGGCATTCCTTCATTTTAAAGGAGAAACAGTCATGGGGTACCATGTTACACATGTTCTTTTCCAGATTATTTCCATTTCAAAAAGCCCAATTACCCTCAGATCAAGCAGGGTGAAGTTTACATGTCCAAAAACACACACAACCAAAACGTACACCTTGACTCAGCACAAACACATAAATGCATCAATTCACACTGTTAAAAAAGACAGCAGCTCTCCTGTTTATTGAACACCTGCTACATACCAGGCACTGCTCTGGATACCTTACGAGGATTATCTCATTCAAGCCCCAGACCAGCCTGTGGGACAAGCATTATTATTCTCATTTTACGGAAGAAAAAACTGAAGCTCAAAGACGTAAGTGACCTGCGCAAGATAACACAGTTCTTTAAGTGGCAAAACTAAAATTCAAACCTAGATTTGCTGCCCTGCAAAGTTCATGTTTTTCCCATTAGACAACACAGTCTGTCTAAATTAAACATAGTTTTGTGCAGTTTTGATATGACCTGAAGTTTCCAAACAGAGCAAAGTGTAGACCGTTGTCTTTGTTGTTAATCTCTAGGCGTGGTACCGAACAGTAAGGTTTCAGTTACGACGAAGTATTTCATTATGTCGCAAGCTCACTGCTTCTCCTTCCTATAAACAACACACATTCTCCCTTCCCTTCCCTTTCCTGCCCAGATGACATATTTGACCCTTCACCTTCAGTAACTTTCGTCCTCTTCTCTGGCTCTGACTCAATCTACACTTTGTACATCTCCCTCCTTAATTAGATTTTCCTTGACAATTCCAGTTCACTCTAGTCTCTTCTTTTTCTATCTTCCCTTGGCTTTTGATATCTTGAGCTTGGTAATTGATCATTAACAAACATTTGCTTACTATCTACTACGTACAAGGCACCATGGTAGGTGCTGGGGATTCAAAGATAAATAAACATAATCCTTGTCCTCAAGGAGTTACAGTTCAACATGTTAATATCATTATTGTCATTATCATCAATATTCACTACCAGCATTATCTCCATCACCATTATCCGTTGCAGACTTACTATGTGTTTTGCAATTATCTATGTAAACATGTGAAGTAAGCATTATCTTCATTTTGTAGTTGGTGGAACCAAGGCTGAGTTTATACAACTTGCACAGCTGGTATGCAGAATATTCAAGGCTGGTACCCAGAAATGTAGAGTTCATAGTTTAGGCTCTGAGGACTACATTAGTTTGCCACCTGGGTAGTCAATTACAGGGCCATTGGAGGACAAGCAAACAATTACAGCACCATCGGGGGAGTCTTAAGGGGAAGTATGCACGTCTAAGTCTTTGCCACCCCCAAGACTGTAAACTTTTAGAAGGAAGGAATGATGACATGAGCTTCCTTTATGGGACCTCCACAGTCCCTAAAACAGAGCCAGGATTACATTGACCTCTCATTAAATCCACATCAAAGCTTTCCTTGTTGGATCTCTGGAAGGTAAAATTTGGGCACATCTATAAATAAAGACGGTGCGCTGAGCAGAGGCCATTGTTTCGATTCTCACCATTATATCCAGGTCGTAGCCACAATGTGATTGGATAGATAGATCTGCAATCAAATAATTAGAGCAATCTGGTAAAGGCTTTAAGAGTGCTACAAGCAAATGGCTATGAAAACACTTCATGCTGCTTGGATAGGAGAGGGCAGGGTTCATCGAGAAAGTGATACTGGAACCAAGGTTTGAAGATGAGTCAGATCTCACGAGGGGAAAGGAAGAAGCCCAGCATGTACATACGTGCGGAACTGAGCAAACACATGGCATTTTGAGAAACCACAGAACGTGTGGTCTTATTTGTGTGTATGTGTGTGTGCGTGAATGTGGCAGGTATTGAAGGGTGAGACAAGGCTTGGGGGGTTAGGAATTAGATCATGAAGAGTTCTGTATAAATATTTAGGAAAATTTGTCTTTATTGTATAAGTGATTTATGGGCATCAAAATTAGAGTTACTTTTTGATAATCTAATACAAATCTGTGGACGCTTTTCAGAGCACGCACATATATACAGCATTTAAATAATCTGAAATAGAATTACTAATTTCTTGAAGTCCTTGGGGTTCCTGGAACAGGGGTTAAGACACCCTCTAGAAGACGGGCGGCCTCTGAAATATTTGAAGTAGGGAGTTTATAATAGGGCTTGAGTTTAGATCACTCTAGCTACAGTGCAGTGGATAATTTAGTAAAGGAGACAATAAAGTAAGTGAGGAGAACTCTCAGAAAGAAAAAGATAAAGTTAGAAAGAAATGCAGATATTAGTAGATAAAAGGAATGTCATAGGCATGATATTTCTTTAGTTCTGCAAAGCATTTAAAAGTCTTCTATGATATTCTTGTGAATAAAATAGGAAAAGTTGGGTAGATAATAGTCTTGCCAAGTGAATCGACAATTAGATGAATCACCATATCCAATGAGCATGAATCAGTGGCTTTCTGTCCATTGAGAAAGAAGCCTCTGGTGGAATATCCCAGAGGCCTATCCTTAGTCTGGGCTCTCCAGTGCCTTGGATAAAACTAGAAAAGACGCTCAGAAATGGCACACTGTAGTGGCTAAGAGGTTGGGATTTGGCATTAGACATTCCTGGGGTTGAGCCTTGATTCCAACACTTGCCATCTGTATGATCTTTGGCAAGGATGATATAGTAATACCCACTTTGTAGGCCTGTTCTGAGGATAGAATGAGGTTAAGACATTTAACACAGTGCTTGATCCATAGTAAGCCCTCAATAATGATTAGCTACTTTTAAGATTATTATCACAATTTAAGATAATACAGAGATTATCTTAAATAATGACAGACTCATTGAAAGTACTCAAAATTATCTCAAACTTTTGGAATACTGGGCTGGAAATGATAAGAAAAATATCAGCAAAAACAAATGTGGAATTCTTATATATCAAGATTAAAAGTTAACCAAACAGGGGCTGGCCCCGTGGCCGAGTGTTTAAGTTCACGTGCTCTGCTGCAGGCGGCCCAGTGTTTCGTTGGTTCGAATCCTGGGCGTGGACATGGCACTGCTCATCAAACCACGCTAAGGCAGCGTCCCACATACCACAACAAGAAGGACCCACAACGAAGAATATACAACTATGTACTGGGGGGCTTTGGGGAGAAAAAGGAAAAAAATAAAATCTTTAAAAAAAAAAAAGTTAACCAAACAATTGTGGTTTGGGGAAAACTGGTTTGGCAGAAGAACATGTGAAAAAATATTTGGGGGTTTAGTTGACCATCAATTTGCTACAGTTGGGTTCAAACATTTCCCCTATTGGGCTGCGTCAGTGGATGAGTAACAGATGGATCACTAGGAATGAAGCTTTCACTGCTTTTTGTGTGCTTTGTTTTAAAGCCCATCAGCCAGCAACCGGAACACTTAACCACGAGCTAAAGACCAAACTCTCCAGGGTAATGATGCACAATAACATCTGTGGTGCTAGAGTCGGAATGCTTGCGTCCCCCAAAATTCATATGCTAAAAACTTAATGCCCAACGCGATGGTGTGAGGAGGTGGGGCCTAGCTGTAAGTCATTCTAGCTCCTCTATGTGGGATGTCGTCACAGCATGGCTTGATGAGCAGCTCCTAGATCCTGGCCGGGATGGGAACCAGTGAGCCCCAGGCCTCCAGGTTGGAGCGTGGGAACTTAAGCACTCGACTGCAGCCCGGCCCCTAACATCCTTTTCTTACAGATGCAGAAACTTTGAGAGCTTAAGTAGGTAGCTCCAATTCAGAGAGCATGCCACCCAGACTTCCAGCTGTTCTACTTTGCTGTTACAGTAGAGCGCATCAGAGGCGGGCGCGTCGGTCTTGACCGCACACTGTCATTAATATCTGACCCTGGCAGCTCGCTGATTCTAGCTGCACCTCCATTACAGCGGACGTTGATCTTGGCACCAGCAACCTCACCTGGCTGTAGGGAGGATGTGCACTGACCAACACAAGGTGTCACCAGAACTGCAAATTTTCCCTTCTGTCCATCGGGGGTTAGAAACAATCACTTTGAGAGCAACCTGAAGGATGGGCAGCAGAGAGAGCCGGCTTGTTTGTCGATAAGACTGATCCCACCCTTGCAGTCAACCAACCCAAATAACTGCCCACTCCACCGGGCCTGCTGGGCGAGAGCCCAGTAACCCTTACGGCCAGGAATGAGAATGCGGGAGATGGAACCAACGGACAGAGGCAACAGCAAGTCTCAGAATGCATAAAAGAAGACAGAAGAAATTCCAGGAATTGTGGGAAGCCGCAGAGAGTAGATATGGAGTTAGCTTTCTCTAAAAAAAGGTGGATCATATTAGTTAGAATTAGTAAAAAGATAAATGATACTCCATTCTATGATAATTTACAGAGTATATTCTGTATAACAGTGATAAAGACAGAGAATGTTGGAATCAGACTAAATTAAATTTGAATCCTGACTTTATCACTTACTGTGTGACCTTGGGCAAATTACTTAACCTCTCTGAGGTTTAGCTTCATCATTTTGTAAAATGGAGATAGCAGTTTCTACAGAAGTTGTAAGGATTGAATATGATGATACAGGAATGTCTTTGTTATCTGAGGATAGTCAGTGTCAGAAAA